GGAACTCATTCTGGGAGTGACCAGAACTTGGTTCAGACTCAGCGCACGTGGGCTGTGCAAGTCGCCAGCCGTTTCCCTGACACACGCATAATTCAGCTGTGATGGTCTGTGGTTTGTGCCCCTTAAGCCAACCTTCAAGACTTCAAAGAAAAGGCAAGTGACCTTATTTAATATCTAGTTATAATGATACCCTCTCTGATTTCTTGAAACCCTTCCCTAACCAATGCAACTCTTGATCTTATAATTTTATTGAAATACATTAACTCTGTAGGTTGAAAAAAATGGTAACCAAAGCCATCGTTTCACATAAATATACCATGTTTTCTAAACCCAGCTTGCTTTCTGCTTGCACTACTCATCCTTTGCCAGTGCTTTTAATGTTCTTACTCCCTCTGTAATCGAACAGTGATAGAAAAGAAGACTGTTTTCTGTTTGATACGAATGTGTGCAAAGAATTAAATCTTAATTTTCTTAAACATGTTAATTTTTTTTCAGTATATCTCTGGTTTCCTCCTGATTAACCACATTAATAGCAGGGAACAAATGCCGAGATACAAAAGTAATTTGAATTTTAGTTTAGTACATGTATACGCTTATGTTTCCCATCTGAGTGTGCCACCATACCCTGTAAGACCCTGAACTGAAAAGAAGCAGCCCCTGAAGATCTGGGAACGGGGCTGGGCTTGTCAGCAAGCGGTCCTGGTCCCTCCCCAGGATGAAGTCATCATTCCCTCTTACCCTGACATTGCCGTTAGGTTGCGGTTTTGTGTTTCATCGTTTCTCTAGAACACAGAAATGTGTAATTTTGCTTAATATACTTATTGACTTTGGTCAGTGATGGAATGGTTGGAATATAAAAAACAATGTGTCACGATAACAAATTGATGAGCAGTTACTAGGTACATTTGCCATATGTTAATAAAATTTGAAAGTAGCTGTTCTTCCTATTTGAATGAGTGGATATTCCTTTTATCGAAGCCAACCATGAAAATAAAAACTGACTCACATTCTCAGAACTTAATAAATATCAGGCATTTTCTAAAATGAATGAATATATGATTTTTCAGATCCCTATTTCTGCTTACTTTTATTATGTTTACTGTAAATCAATGTTTTGGAACAAAATCTGGATTTTACGCGAGAAAGAAATCAGGAATAAGAGTGAGGCCAGCTTCGAGGTCAGACACCAGAGTCCTCATTGTTTTCCAGTTCTTCAGCTCTCCTCAGCAGCCCTGCAGCAGAAGCAGTGAAGGAACTGGAGGGGTTTACCCAGAGCTGTGAATGGTTCAAAGCAAAAAACAGAAGGGGTTAGGAAATCTAGGGAACACCAAAAATAGTATTTAAATGGAACCAACTGGGAAGGGGAGGAAAGGGAGATGTCCTCAAGTCTCTTTGGTCTCAACTGAACTTGATATACAGCTTTCTCTCCTGCCACCTTCCCTTCCCTCCCTCCACTCGCCAGTATCAGGACCTACCTCCAGTTCCTGCCTGGCCCGTCTGCCATGTGCTTCTCCAGGCTCAGATCCTCTCTCTCACCATTCTTTCCTCACTGCTTCTTATTTATCCTTCAAGAATCAACTCGGGACCCTCCTCCTTAAAGAAGCCTTCTGTGATCGCCACCATGTTGGATTGCATGTCCTGGCTGTTGGTGCTCAGAGAACTCGTCACACCTTTATCTTAGCATTTACCGCGTTCGGTTGGAATTAGTTACGCTTAGGTCTTTCTCTCCCATTACACTACAAGGTCTTTGTGAAAAGAGTGATTAATTCACCATAACCATCTTGTAACTCAGGATCATGCATAGCCCCTGGAAAATAGTAGGCATATGATAAATGTGCATCTGAACTAAAACCAAAATGAGCAGTTTCAGCTTCCTGCAAGGGAATTTATTGGTCAGGAGAATCATTGGCTTTATTCTTCATTTGAATTATCATATATGTCTTGACATTTTATGTGGCTTTCCAGAAATAAACTGTACCCAAGAGTATGATCATGTTCCAAGAGCCCCTTTATGTGTATTTGTGTGTGTGTGTGTGTGTGTGTGTATTAAGGATTAACCCTTTTAAAAAAGCATTTCTCCAAGATGAGCCATGAGGCAATACTTTTTGAAGCTCTTGCCTTTGACCCTTTTCAAACTTGAATTACATAATTTTGTTGTCATTTTTGAGCATAGATTATATCAGGGAATGAATGAATGCCTTAGAAATACTCAGTATGTAGGTAAAATATTGTGAAGAGAAACATGAGAAACGAAGCCCAGTAAATGGAGGGTTTGGGGAGGGTGTGGCGTGAGCATATTACTAATGAATCTTTGACATTTATCCAATATCCAAGAAAAATTTTGTATAGAATGTAAATATGTGTAACAGTCCATGGAAGCTCAGGCTGAAATTAATTCAAATGTACAAGTGCTTTAGATGGGACTTGGGGCATGGTGGGGTGTTTTGGTCTGATTTTTTTTAAGATTTTATTGGGGAATTGGGGAAGAGGAACAGTGTTGGGGAATTGGGGAAGGGGAACAGCCAAGTTGTTGTCCTTCAGTCTTAGTTGTGGAGGGTGCAGCAAGCTCAGCTCCAAGTCCAGTCACCATCCAGCCGCCCGATGGCAGCTCAGGGCTGCTCAGCTCAAGGTGTCGTGTTCAATCTTAGTTGCAGGTTGACTTGGTTTTGTATTCTACTTGGAATGTGTGTATATCTCTATATGGCACCTGTACCTTCCAAAATATTTGTCTCCTTTGTGACTTAATTTTCAATTCCGAGATAAGAGTCAAAGCCTGAAACTGGTAACCAGTCTAAGACAACAATGCTAGATATTTTTAAATAATTTAGAGTGGACTATTAGCTGAGGAGCCATGATTCAAAAGTTATCTCTTTCACTTCTACTATTTAGAGCTGCAAAACGAACAAACAAAAAAAATGGAATTAGTCTGATCCATAACTCTTCAATCTCTTCTTTTCTTTAGTGGGATTGGAAGGAACTGGCCCTGGGCCTCAGGAGGCAGCAGTATTTTGGCAGAATTTGGAACTTTGCATTTGGAGTTTATACACTTGAGCCACTTATCAGGAAACCCCATCTTTGCTGAAAAGGTGAGATTCTCCACTACGCCTTGCTCTGCAAAGCAGTGCTTGTGAGAAACAATATCCTCTCCTGGGAGATTTAGTAATATTGGATGTGGAAAAGAACAACCAAGTTTACTCTAGCTCTTTATGAAGTTTTGTTACATGCCGCATTTCATTTAAGCAAACTGTAAACTCATACTCTTTCCGTGGCACCATCCTGACTCAGTGTGAGAGGGCCTGGCTTGAACATCTGATTCTCTGCACCTCAACCGAGTGACTTTACCACTGTCTTTTTTTTATATATATGTAAAAACATATGGTGCTGTAAGGACTCTTATGAACCAAGTATGTGAAAGACTTTTTAAACTCGAAGTATTATATAAATGCAAGGTAGAAACTAAATCGAGTTCTGATTTTCAAGAAACAAACCCATACATATTTGGATAAATTTATATTCACCCACCAGTTTGCCCTTAGCTTTCCACCCACCTCTCAGCTCCCCTTTACAGCAAAATTCCTTGGAAGAGGTGTCTCTGTTTGTTATCTTCTCTGCCTGTCTCCTCCTCCCTTGAACACTTTCCAGTCGGGCTTCTCTCTCAGCCACACCTGTTGCAGTAACTAACCAGTGAGCACATTGCCAGGTCCAGTCATCATTCTCACCTCTCGTCTTCCTTGCCCTCTCGGCGTTTGACTCACTCGGTCACTTCCTTCTCCATGAGACGCTCTCTCTGCCGTTGGCAGCAGGCACAGGAAACCCCCTGGGTTTGCCTCCTCCTTTCCTGGGTGCTCCTTCTCAGTCTCCTTTCTGGGATCCTCCTTATCATCCCAACGTCTAGGTATCGGAAACCCCCTGGACTCCATCCTGGGCCTCTTCCTTTTGTGTTCACTCCCCACGTTATTTCATCTAATCTCATGGCTTTACGTACAACCTATATCCTGCTGACTCCACACTTATCATTCCAGTCCCAACGTGTCCCCTGAACTCCAGACTCTGTGTCCAAGTGCATATTTAACATGTCCACGAAGAGGTCTAATAGACAGTTCCCACTTAAAATGTCTCAGACTCAACCTCCAGACCTGCTTCTACTCCAGCCTTCACTATCTTGGTACCTGGCACCTCAGTTTACCTAGTGGCTCAGACCAAAACGCTTGAGGTTACCCTGATTTTCTGGTAAACTTCAGGTCCAATCCATCAAGAGATCCTTGGGCTCTGTCCCGTTACCTCTGCTGCCACCCTGGTCCAGGCATCCAACATCTCTCACCTGGACTCTGCAGTAGCCTCCTGACTACCGCATCCGCTTTTGCACCCTGGTCACACCAGTCCTGGAAAAACACGTCTTCAGTGGTTTCCCATCACACTCAGAGTAAACTAAGCCCTCATGGCCTGGGAGGCCTGCATGACGTGGCCCTAGCTGTCTATCTCTTCTGCCCCCTAACATTTTCTCCTTCCTTTGCTTCCTGTCCTCCAGCCTCAGTGGCCTTGCCAAACCCCCTCTCTTCTTAAGGCTTTTGCACTTGCCCTCTGCCAAGGTTGCTCTTCCTCCCATTTTCTGCATAACTTGCTCCTTCACGCCTTTAAAATTCTACTCAAACACTCTCCCCTCCGCCTCCCCAGACCACCCTGAGTAACATGGTGCAGCCTCACCACCTCACATCACTCTGTGTCCCGTTACCCTCTCACAGTTTTTTTCATAGCATTTATTACCACACGTTATAGGATTTACATTGCAAATACTACATTTCTTTGTTTATTAATCTGTCTCATCCCACTAGACTGCAGATTCCAAGAGAGTAATGACTTTGTTTATCTATTAACGTGTTTCCTGTATGGTTCCTGGCATATAGTAGGTCAGCATGACTGTGTTCACCTTACTACCTATTATTTTTGTTCAGCTGGTGAGAGCTATCTTTGTTCTAATTCTGCATCATTTAACACAACTTTTTTTTTAATATAAGTAAGAAGGAGAGAAGAATGGCACCAAAATTGTTTTTTAGATTTCCATAGTAACATTTTATTTTCTATTATAGGTAATGAATATTCGAACAGTACTGAACAACCTGGAAAAACCACAAGGCCTTTATCCTAACTATCTGAATCCCAGTAGTGGACAGTGGGGTCAATGTAAGTCAAAAGATTAGCATCGTTTTAGCTCTTTATGGCACTCAGTATTGTTCTAATAACAGAGAAAAAGCAGGGGAAAAGGCACAGTCTTTGGGGAGAATGTTTAGAAAAGGGGAAGGAGGCACAGTCTCTTTAATAAATAGCATTCTGTCATAAGACAGGCTGTAAGTGTTACCAGGGGACTAGAGTGTTTATTTTTCATGCATAACCGTGAGCGTGATGACATGTAAGCACGTTTAAAGCTATTAATCCAAAAGGGAATATCTAGTCAGGGCGGTATGGGGATGTTAGCCTGTCGCAAGCTGGTCATGCAGCTATAAGAGGAAATTGTTCCATTGCACTAATGACTATCAGGGTTTTTTAAACGGAGTAGCGAGGTCATTCTACTTCATAACATTTTCTTTCCTGCTTGCTATAAGGTGAGAGAGGAGCCTGAATCTTTAAGGGTTGGGAAATTGAAAGAGCCACAAGGTGTTTTCTCTACTTCATTTTAAGCAGGCAGATAAAGGTTTCTTGCCAATAGAGATACCTTTAGAGTAGGAGAAAGTATTATGCCAGAAGCCCTCACTTGAGATCCTTACAGACTTTGACCAGGGGTATAAAGATTCAGAGTAGTTGAAAGAAATGTTCTCAAGCTGATTTGCAGAAACGTTGGTAAATTAAGCAGCAACCGAGAGCAAGGGAAGACTACTAAGTGAGATGCCTAGATGTGCCGACTATGTTAAAATGCCTTAAAATTTTACTCCGATTTGAGTATTTTTCATTCTATTTAAATATCATATTCTTAGATGGTTGTGCCTCACTGTTACTTTAGAACTACTTTTCTTAAAGAATAGTTTTGTAGAAAAAAATGCTAACATCTATGTTTGTGTGTTAGTAATGGCTAGGGAAGGCCTAGCTGCTGAGACCATAAGACCATAGTCAAGGTTGTCACTTAACCTAAGTGTGGTCTGCAGATCACTGGACATCCCTCTGACCTTTCAGAGGGTCCACAAGGTAAAAGCTATTTTTATAATATGAAGACTTTCTGCCTTTTTCACTGATTTGATACTGCACTTACATTACAAAAGCAATTCATAAAAGTACTGAAACCGCAGTGAGAACAACGGCAGGCACCAAACAGTCCTAACAGTCACATTCTCAAGCTTCCCTGCAGGTAACAAACAAAAAAAAAATAAATGCCAGTTTCACTTATGAATGTTCTTAATGAAGCAAAAATAAATGATTGACTGTAGTAAATCTCAGCCTCTGAATACACACACAGCTTTGTACTACTCTGTATGAGTAAGTGGAAAGTACGTGTAAAGCACTTTTGTTGCATAATAAAAAATAGCGGTTGCCTCATAGAAGAGTGCTTGTGTGACTGAGTCGTGAGCTGAACTAGCTGCTTATTGTTTCATAAGTCACCATTTTTACTTGAAAGAACAACTGAAGACAAACTGGTTATTCAGAGTTGGGTACTTAGTAGACATGTTCTTGAAAATGAGCCTGTCACTTTGTGGAAAACTGACAGTATCTGTGCCAATGATAAAATTTAAACTTATAAGTGAAAATTAGAATTTTGGAAACCTTGCATGCACCACCATGAGCTCATTGCTTTTAACCAGCACTTAAAGACTTTTGTGATGAGATTGGTGGTGAGATTAACAAATATGGTTTCTCAATATTGTCTAATGAAATGTGTCAACATTTGGAAGATCTGTGTAATTCAGTGAACCAGTATTTTCCAAATGATCAATGCACGCTGTTACTAAACCGTGTATGAGAAAAAGATCCATTCAAAATGCAAGATAGACCAATGAATTTTAATGTAACAGTACCAAAATTCATTGATGTGGTTTTTAATTCCACATTACAACTAACTTTTAGAAAAAAAATTTAACCTTTAAAAAAAAATGCTCGGCAAGTTTTGTTGTAGTATCAAAGAAAAATATCTACAATAAGCTGAAAAGACTATTAAATACTCTCCCCTTTTCTAACTCTGTAACTCTGTGAAGCTGAATTTTCTTCATATTTTTCAGCCAGAATAACATAATATGGATTGAATGTAGAGCAGATATGAAAATCCAGCTGTCTTCTAGTACAGCAAACATTAAAGAGATTTACAAAAATGTAAAATCGTGTCAGTTTTCTCACTAATTATTTTTGTTTTGTAAACTATAACTTTTTTATAAAAAAATGTAACAGGTTGTAACAGGTATATTGTTATTTTAAGTAAATTAATAACAATAAATTATTTTAATTTCCATTATGTTAAATATTGATAGATATTACATAAACAAGTTTTGGGGGTGCTTATTCATTTTTAAAAGTGTAAAGAGGTGCTGAGACTGTAAAAACTTTGAAGGTCACTAGAGTATTTAGGATAAAGATAACTTAAGTAGCTTTCTAAGGACAACATGACTAGATATGATTCTCTGAAAGGACATGTGTTTTTAGAGTTTTCATGAAAGATTCAAAAGTTGAAGAAAAGTCTCTAGGATTTACTGTTTTCTTCCTGTAATGTAGGCTTGGAAGTCACTATGGAGAGGGGCAAAGAGTCAGTTTCACTGGAACATCCCAGCGTCACCTCCTGGGTCACGGATATGCTATGTATGGGGCCATGTTTCGCCTTACAAAGAGCCCTTTATATTTGTATTGCTTATGGGTCAATTTCCTGATGGAAAAACAAACAGGGCTGATGAGTCCCATGTCTCTCCTCCCCCACCGCATCCTGTTCCAGCCACAAGGAAGACTCTCATATTTTTGTTTTTTAATCAAGGCCTACGTGGCCATATCCAACTCTGGGCCTTGTGCTGTTTCCTCAGCCCATTTACCATTCTTCTGACACTGCCAAGGCTCAGCTCAACCACCATTTCTTCTGGGAGGCCTGCCTCTTCATGACCCTATTTGGAATTCGTCAGCACTGATTCCTGCTCTACTCACCCCCTATTTCCTCCCCTGTCTCAACCCTTTGGGTACTTTCCTATCACAGTCCTTTTCCTAATGACTCATGTACATACCCATCAACCTAGAGTTCCAAAAATTTTGAGGGCGGTGACTTTGTCTTAGTCATGTTTGTTAATCCAGCACACAGTATCTTGCACCTAGTAGGTGTTTACTTACTTGAATTTTGTGAATATGCATGCACTCTGTATCCAATCTGTCTTTTTGCCTCTGCTTTTAATAATGATCCTATTTATTTTCTTTGAATAGTTTGCCTGTGCTCCTCAGTTGTGGCTGGGAGGCAGCATCCAGTCCTGGTGACTGATCATGTAAAGAGATCTTGTGACTGTTAAGACCAGATGTGGGGCAGAATAATGATCACTCTTCTTTGATTAATATAATAACACTAATAAACCTATCATGTCACTAGCATCATTGGGGGATTGCTTTGATGAGAGAAGTTCAGGTTTAGATGTAGTCTACAAAATTAAAAAAGGAAGATATCGAGTATTTAATCCTTTTTGTCTTGATTCTTTTGCAATTTGTTTTGTTTTGTTTTGTTTCTCTTAAAGTATTAGGAACCCTTTTATGGGACCCATTTCTATTGGGTAGAATAAGATAAATTGCCCCCTTTAGAGAAGAACATAATATTTAACTGACTATTTGTACACATTATCTTTAGAGCATTTCGGAATAAAAATACCACATATGTTCTTTCTAGAGGTAGGCAGTCCTTTCCTGCTGATAAAATCAAGCATATTCTCTGCTACATCCACTAAGATATTTACACAGGACTCTGTTGCCAGTACAAATTGTCATCCAGACACAAGGGAAGCTTAGTGAGTAATATGCTAAGTTATCAAAAGGACTTTCTCTCGTTTCTCCTCTATGTTCCTTTATTTTGATTCTTTCCAAATATAAAAATTTTATAGGCAGGAAATAAGAAAATTAGAAAATTGACTAGCACTTACCAAAATTTATTAAAACAAATGTATTAATGTGTAAACCTTTTTAGTTTTTTAAAGATCACCAAATGCCCAAAGTCACTTCTTCCATCCATTGTAGAATCATAACCCAAGGGGCAAGAAAATGGAGCTGCTCTGGCTGTTAGTTTTCAACTCTCAGTGCTTGAACTCTGAAGGCCTTGTCTGGAGCGTGGCCATCATTTCCTAGTACTTCATTTAGTCCTTGTTATTTTGACAGGAACCAGACACTGATTTACTTAACCATGCATCACTTGGATTTGTCTCCTGCAATCATGTTTGTAACAACAGGGCTTATTATTGATGAGCTAGCCCTTAGTCTATTTAATTTGTAAATGTCAGAGGTTCCTGTGGTGATTTATTTAGGAAACTGTAAAGGTCATTTCAAACACTGCTATTTTAAGAACCAGTCTTACAAGTGTAAAAACACTAATTTTATATTAAAATTAAAACTATAATTCTGGACTTTCTGCAATAATACAATCACATGTTTAACTTAAAAAAAATATAGCACTTCTCACTTAAATATGTGTGGTCCCATTAAGGTTGACTTAGAAGAATTTTACTTTGTTCATCAATTGTTTACTGAGTACCTACTATGTGCAAGATACTTTCTAAGGGCTAATGTGGACTGGGAAACATAATGGTCTGCTCCCTGCCCTCCTGGGTGACAATCTCGTGTAAGAGACAGAAAGAGAAAATTCTACCCTTTTATGAAAGGACAAGTATGGTAGACATGTGCTATCAAAAAAGTGTATAACAAGGGAACCTAGTAGGCAGTCAGGGAATTCTTTGGGGAAGCAACATTTGATCCCGAGCATGAAGTATGAGTAAGACTTACTTAATGAAGGGGGGAAGAGTCAGAGATGTACTTCAGGCAGAGAGAATAATGCCCTTAGAATCCCTGAGTTGAGAAAGAGCCTAATGGTTTTAAGGGACCAAAACAAGGGCCATAGAGCAAGAGGGCAGAGAGCAAGTGGAGCAGGACTGATGACACCGAGAAGATTAGATCATGCAGATAGCCAAAGACCCAGGATTTGAGCCTTCAGCAGGGAAGGCTTCAAGTAAGGGATGACCTGATTCATTCATATGTTAAATTCATATGGCACTGATACGGGGAGGGAATAGGTTGGAGTGGCACTGCCATTAGAACGGTGTTAATGCAAAATGTTCTATATCTTTCCTGTCCAGTACAGTAGCCAAGGGCCACATGGAGCTATTGAGCACTGGTATGGCTGAAAATTTTTGTTCTATTTTAATCAGTTTAAATTTAAATAGCCATATGCTAATGGGCTACTGCAGACTCAGACACAGGAGATAGTGGTAATTTGGGCCAGGATTGTATCGATGAGGACAGAGAGGAGTACAATGAATTCCAGAGATATCTAGGAAGTAAAATTAGTAGAGTTTCATAACTCATTGAATATGAGAGTGAGGAAGAGAAGAAGTAAAGAATGACTCTGATGTCTAACTTGTGTGGTTGGGAAGATGATGGGGCCACTTAATGAGATAAAGGCCAAAGCAGAAGATAAGGTTAAGGAGGAAAAGAAAATGAATTCAGTTTTAACCTGTTCAATTTTAGGTCCCTGTGTAGACCTCCAAATGGAGTTGTTGGGTAGGCATCAGGAGAAAATTGTCTTGATGGCTGTGTAAATATTGATTTACTTTTGTATAGCTAAGTCAACAAATAAAAGTTTTATTTTCTTTTTAATTGATACATAAAATTTGTTTTGAGTTATGAAACTTAAAATGCAACTTTTCAAAATTCATGCTCAAGTTCTCTGTGAACTCTAGAAATGGTATTTCAAATAGATTACATCTGTTTTTGGAGCTAAACATACTTTAAGAATACATTTGGTGTTATATGGTGGAGAGCAAGTAGATCCAAATGTAAGACCCTGTGTGGGCAGTTCAGTGGCACTTTCCGAGGTCATAATCTCAGTTAGCCTCTCTGAGACTCAGTTTTCTCGCTTTTAATGAGATACCTACCTACAAGTTGCAAGACTGTTGGTAATATATAGTGGATCTGGCATAATAGATGGCAGTGAAGGAGAATTGTAGAAATGGAGTATTAGGAAGACAAACTTCTGCAGCCCTATATCTTCTTACTGCCCCCACCACCCAAAGATTTTGACCCTTCACATTGAGACTGTTAAAAAACCTCTCTAATAATAATAGTAATAATAACAATAAATCACAAGAAGCTGAGCAACTTGTTTTATTGAAAGCCACTTTTTAAAAAGATTTGCATATACCCATAGCTATAACATAGCTTATATTACTGAGAGCTAAAGCAATTAAAATTTATTTGAATATATACTGTGAAACATTTTAATTTGGTATTTTTACTAAAAAAACTCGATTTTTTAAATTAGGGGGGATTATATGTTTTTATCTTCATGTTTACAAAACTACCCTGGTAATTATTTAGAGCATGTCACATTACTTAACAACACATCTGCTCATTTCAGAATATCTTTCTGAAAACAAGAGATTTGTTGGAATTTAAATGTAACATTGAGTTGCAGTTGATATAAGGTTTTACATCCTAGCTGCTAATGTGATTTTGCCGCATTATCCGAATTAAAGGCAGAATCACTCTAAAATTTATTTCCCTTTCTTGCAGATCATGTATCAGTTGGAGGACTCGGAGACAGCTTTTATGAATATTTGCTAAAGGCATGGTTAATGTCTGACAAGACAGATCTAGAAGCTAAGAAGATGTATTTTGATGCTGTTCAGGTAAACCCAATATTTAAATCATCTTTGTCACTCATCTTGTAACTTGCATATTAATCAAGCTTTAATGAAAAAATGAAATACTGCATGAGTGGGTTACAAATTATTTCCAGTTAGAGTTCAGTATCTGCTAATCTAATTATAACAATAGTAATCACACTTGATGTGTTTAGTTCTAACAGGGCAAGTTAAGTTTTTTACATGGTTCAAACCTCAGTTAAGATGCACATATCTGAAAAAAATTCACATATCTGAAAAAGAGGTATTTTTTTCAATGAGTATGAGTTCCCTGCTTAGAGTCACAGTTAAAATAATAGGGGTGGGGGGTGGGGAGGGGAAGGTCCTGAATTTATATTCTGAAAATTAATTAAGTTAATATTGCCCAAGATTACAGACAAGCCTCATGGCTACCTCCATTTGGAGTAAACTTATCTTCAGCGACATATGAACAGTACCCTCAAATAAAAATCTGAATAACAAAACTAATATTTAAGAGATTATTAGTAGTTTTCAATGGTCCTTTATAATGGATGAGGAATGAGAAGGAACAAGTATTTGTTGAATTGCCTACTGTGTGTTAAGTAGTATGTTAGGTGGATACTTTAAATAACGTATTTGTTTGTTTCCTCACAATAGTTAGGTATTATTCATTTATTTTTACAGATAAGACAACTGAACAGAGAGAGTGAGTGTGGAACCAAAATTCAAACTAAAATTTGTGTGAACACCTGTCCCTTTTTATCTCACCACTATGGATTTATTTGTGAATAAAATGCCCATGCTACTTGTAAATATTTCTTTACAGGCAGTAAGTTAGTAAGACAAATTTGAAACTACTTAGCAAAGTTTATAGGAGGTGGCCGGTGTAAGAGTAAACAGCCTCAATCAAATGGAAGCCTCAATCAAAAATAAAAATAAAATTTGAAAATAAAAAAAAGAAAATTACTATATATAACATATTTGAACTTGTACCCAACTTTTCAGGAACAAATTTTTTAGCAGAATCAAGTATGTTTGTGATTGATAAACTATTTTATGTAACTCATATTTTTTAATAATTATTATTATCAAGGCGTCTCAAAGAATGTAAAATTATGACTAACTCATCAGAAAAATTGACCTATTTATTGACTGCTTAGAAATGTTTTATAAGTGAGAGTAGTAACTCATAGTGGGGGAAAACGGAAATGTGTAATCCCAGTGATATAGCCATTGTTCTGAAATGGGTCTCCCGAAGAGGAAACCTGGGTGGTTTTGACATCTGCTGATTAATTTATTTAAATGTGATTGAAACTTGCTTGGCTTTGGTTGACTAGGCTGAAAATTATATTGGTTCCCACCCAAGATCAATAGGGAGCTTCACTAAGCAGGGCAGATACAACTCTACTGTTTCACAGACAGGAGCCAGAACACCTCAGTTAGAACACTGGCCTTCGCTGAGCACAGCTTTTACTAAGGCGTGTGGTAAACATTAAAAGCCTACCAGGATATGGTCCACCTGGTCTCTTCCAGGTTCATTTTTCTTCATTCCTGTGAGGTTTCAGATTTTAACCTAGGGTATTCTTCTTCATACCGTATAATTTCCATTATGTCATTTTTTAAATTATTATCCTGGCAGGTATTTTAATTATTCTAATCTGAAAAGTGGCCCCCTAAGACCTTGATGTTTCAGGAAAATCAACTTTAAAATACTCTTTGAAATACTTTTCATCAGTTTCTAGAACTATACCCACACAGCTTTTAACATATTGTATTTAGACAAACCATTGACAGGAAAACCCACTAAGAACAAGTGAAGTCAAAGTGTTTCCTGTTTCTCTTAATAGTAAAAACGTTTCAATCCATTGTGTGTTTTCAACTTAGAAAGCAAAGCTAGAACAATGAAACTTCTGATTTTTAAGAAGTAGCCATACAGCAAAATTTCTCTGTGCTGGTTATCCTTCCAGAGATCATTGTGATCAAGGAGAGAGGACCCCTCCCGTTGTTGTTCTGGACACTTGAGTTACTGGAGCTATAGTCACCAGTTCTAGCTGCTAGTAGATTTTAGAAAGTATTTAATCCCAGAGTGGTATGTTTCCTATGGCCGTTTTAATCATAAAATACTTTGAGCTTTTAACTATTTATCATGGCCTTATCTGGAAGCCACACTAAGAACCCACAGTGATGTGTGCTCACCATGCGTTGAAGTGAATGGTAGCTGGGCAGGTGATGTGTTAGACAATTAGGATTCTACAGGCTTCGTCAAACTAATTTTTTTTCAAATATGGAAGAGGGAAATCACAAAATATACAACACTCTTTCTCCTAATCAATTCTCTGTCAGATTGACACAGCATTCTTTTGAAAGCCACCAAGACAATTTTTGCCTCTGTATTTATTTACAATTTCCTATTGCCACATAAACATCGCTCTGTGGTCTTGGAACTTTGTTGTAGTTTATTTTGAGAGGTGGCAACTTGGTCAGAATCATGCCAAAAATAATATAGCACTTATTCGGGATCCATAACAGAGTAATAATGTTTCTCTAATCCATGCTCAAAAGCTATTACTCTTGCCATGTAGAAAGAATAATTTCTTGGGTGATGAACAAGTATCTGCTTGAAGGGCTTTATTGCAATTTGTGCTATGAGAAGTCTAAATAGCTAAAATGTTTAGTTGCATTAAATTAGAATGAAATATTAATGTAATAACTAGACCATCAATAAAATTAGCTTAACCACAGTTAATGAGCACAACAGTATGTTTATTTATTTATTACCATCTTGGTTTCATTTGTTTACTTCTAATAAAGGTAGGGAAAGTTTTATCTGCCTGTGTGTTCATTTTCACATATTCTTCTCTATCACAAGTTTTGTCTGTGTCTACAATTCCCAAATGCGCTTCCTAAAAACCTCTCTTTTTTTGATAATAATGTAACAGGTATAGACACAGTCATAGCCCATTTCCTTCTATGAAGTAATTGGGGGTAGGGAAGCATTTCCTGTTACAGTAATTGGAAATTAGTAACTCCAAAAACACTTCATTTTTGCTTTAAAATATAAGGTTTATATTGTTTTCTCTCTCTACTTTAAAAGAATATCAACAGTCCTGGGACAGAAATAAAAGATATTTTATAATTTTTTTGTAAACCTCATCTTTTTCTCCCAAATTTACAGATCTTTATTATTTATTTTTTATTAAACCTTATTGGGCTGACAATTGTTAGTAAAGTTACATAGGTTTCAGGTGTACAATTCTGTAATACATCATCTATGTGTCACATTGTGTGTTTTTAAATATATTTTAATCACTGTATACTAATGTTCTTTTTTTGTATAATTATTGGGGAGGGGGGACTTAGTTCAGTGTTACACAGTGATGTGAATGATGTGATCAATGACCTTTATCAAGTGCTAGTCACAATACTGACCACTTTATAAACAAACTGTTGCAGAGTTTCTTCAGCAGATACTACCATTCCCATTTTATGGATAAGGATCCTGAAATAGGGATACAGGAAGCAAATTATCCACAGAGTTCACAGATGGGAAACAAAAAAGCTTATCACAGCCGGAATTTGAAGCTGAGCAATCTAACACTCGGGAACAGTCCCTCTTTCCCACCCTGTGTTGTTATCCCTCCAAACCTAAGAAAACAAAAGGAAGGGTAAAAACCACCACCCTGACTTCATACACAAATAGGCTCAGTTCCTCATCTGTGGTAGGGCCTGTGCTTTGTGTGGCTTCTCCATTTGTGAAAATGGAAATGCACTAAACCAACTGTTACCACTCTACTGTCTGTGAAAAGGGGACAGCTTTTGGGTTATGAGGTCTTTGGGTGTTTTGTCTTGGAACCACGCAAAGCTGACTGGGCTGGCCCAAGAGCATGAACTCTAATTAACCCCACTAATAAGGCATACACTAGAGGAAAAATTCCGAAAGCAATAACATAAAATTTCAAGTTGAATTGGATTTGTAATACCAAATTCAAATTATGAGTAATGTTGTATCCCTTTTTTAAAAAATGTTGGGGGGGCGGGGAATGTTGATAGTATAAATTTGAGAAGAGATTACAAATGTTGAAAATGAGTATTATTTTCAGGCAATTGAGACTCACTTGATCCGCAAGTCCAGTAGGGGGCTGACGTACATCGCTGAGTGGAAAGGGGGCCTCCTGGAACACAAAATGGGCCACCTGACCTGCTTCGCCGGAGGCATGTTTGCTCTGGGGGCCGACGAGGCTCCTGCAGACCTGACCCAGCACTACCTTCAGCTCGGGGCTGAGATTGCCCGTACCTGCCACGAATCTTACAACCGCACATGTGAGTTCATGTTATTCTCCATTGATAATCTATACCTACGTGCTTTCATTTCATTCAGTAAGAAACTTTTTTGTTGCTACCCTCAAAAGAATATCTACTGTGCCTGATGAAACCGCGTGATCATGATTACTATCGTAGAGGAATTTATATTTTTAGTTTAAGAGGTAGTGCTTTTCTACATTAAAAAAAATATTTACCATTAGTTTGCCAAGACATAAAAATCTAGGCCATAAAAGGTTAGGCCAGTCTCATATATTGACCCTGCTTTAGGTAAATAACATTGGATAACAGTGCAAAAGAAACCTGATATTTTTTTGTAAACTATTATTAATCTTTCTAGTGTCTCCATGAAATAGATTATGAGTCTAGCTCGCTTCTTATAAAATAGAAGTTTGAAGCAATAAGATTAAATAACATTTCATGACATAATGACAGAATTCTCAAGCACTGATTTTCTAGCTAGCTAATGAAGTATATCGTGGGGCCTTGGCACCTACCTGGCAGGTGCTTAGCAAATGGTGGTTAAATGAAAGAAAAGGAAGAATCATTACTATTTTCTAATCTGGATTCTGTTAGATGGTTAAATTTTAGAAGTATATTGAATATTATTTACTATACGATGTATATAACTGTTCCTTTAAATGATTCGGCATCTTTCTTGAATGTTGTAAAGTACTTTCTAATTCCATTTAAGTTACAGACACTAAGCGTTGTCGAGGACACTAACTCTTGTCACCCATTACATATTCTTTAGTTGTGAAACTGGGACCAGAAGCTTTCAGATTCGATGGCGGTGTTGAAGCCATTGCTACAAGGCAAAATGAAAAATACTACATCCTACGGCCAGAGGTTGTTGAGACTTACATGTACATGTGGCGACTGACTCACGATCCGAAGTACAGAAAATGGGCCTGGGAAGCCGTAGAGGTGATGTTTTAATTTGCCTTTGTTTCTTATAGATAAATGTCTCAGGAATAAATGTGCATTGGTACCTATAAATCTAGCATATCAACTTTTCTGCGATTTTTAAAACTTTGACCAGACATTTTTTTCCATTTAAGACCGAGTGTTTTCAGTGAAGTCATCCTACATCTCTGGCTTCAGCTTTGCTTACTGTAACGATGAGATACAGATATACCTACTTTGATATTGAAGGATAAATCTAGGAATGCATATTATAAAATTAAATTTCCATGACTACAGAAGTGATGACCACTGAATTCAACAAAGGGTTACAGGCAACTTGGGGGTAGAACCCCTGCCTGTTGTCTATCTCAAAAGCCACTGGGTTTTTTTGTTTTGTTTTGTTGTGTTTTCTATCAGTCTTTGGACACTGAAGTGATAATACAGTATATGCTTTTACTTAGAGTAAATTAGCTATGTAAATCTAAGTTTTAGAAAGAACCTGCAGAACTACTTTGTGCAAGAATATTCCTTCACTAATCTCAGGATGCTCTGAATATCTATAAGCTTTCGATGTGGCTAGTGTGCTGTTCTAATTATCTTTGTCACCTCTTGAGTCTCTTCCTGCTGAATATGGTGTATCATCTTCCTAAACTAATGTATTGTGTGCTGGATGCCAGCGGAGGTGCCCTCCAGGATATGCATCAAACAATGTCTAACTTTAAGAGCTATTATTCTGAAAGGAGTGGGAGGGAATTCAGAGAATAAGAACAAGCAGCCGCTTTAATTACACTCTGTCCTTCTCTAGCCTCTTTGTTAGAAAGTTAGCTGTCCTTAAAAACCATCCATTGTGAATAACTTCTCTTGGAAAATCTAAGATGAATATTGCCTTTGTGTAAAATTTAATATCTTAGGAAGCTGTTGATGAATCTCACTTATTACCCTCTTCATTTAGTGTGTGTCTTATCGTTAATCATCAGTCATTTTAAGTAACAGCAATTCTTTAAGCCTCTTTTTTTTTTTTTTTTGCAAATGTTTCTATTTATGTTTAGTCAGTGGTAACTCCAATTTCTGTAAATTTTTGTTTTATTCTCTGAAACAAATGTATTAAAATTGTAGTTTAAGCATTGGTGATAGGAAATTATTTTGGTCTTCAGTAGGCCAACAAAGGAATTAATACCGAATATCAGTTTAAATTTAAAATATCAAGAATAATGTATTTTATCAACTGTAAAACACCATAATTAGTTTTAAAAACACCATTATTTTACATACCACAAGAAACTACAACACTACCGGTTAAATCATGACATGCCAATTTTACAGATGTTAAAGTGAAAAATGTATGAGAGAATTGATCAAAAATGGAAAGTAAGTAAATCTCTATTGCCATATAGGTGGGAAGCTTTGATTTGCTTGGTTCTTCAGGGGAGTTTGTTTGTGGAGTAATAAGGTTGGTTTTATGTGTTAGGAATTTTATCTATTGCCAACTTTTAGTGTAGAATATGATGTGAAATTGTTTCCTTATGTCGTAACACAGGGATCCCTGTTTTTGCCACTAGTAATTTCTGCCACAACTTGAGACATAGTGGGGAGGGGGCAGTGCTGGGGGCTCCTGCCTTTTTAAAACACAAACATCACAGACTTAGCAGGTGTGGCAGCACTCTTTCTCTCTGTGTTACATCCCTTCGGCTCCCTGTGCTTGTGTCTCAGCTGCAGAGGCAGTGGGCAGTGCCCCAAATGCTAGCAGCATTGTTCAAGTGCCTGTGCTTCTCAGCTGTTCTGACTCACAGCTCCTTCCCAGGCAGCTGGATAGTCTGGGAAGTGTGGGAGAGTTAACAGTCCCAGGGGCAAGCCTCAACCACTAAGGTGTGGGAGTTGATGGATAACTCTCCTAGCCTTCCTTGTTTACTTTTTGTTTTGGTTTTTGATTGTCCTTTTTCATATATGGAGTTTCTGACTGGACTTGAAGATTTACACAGGACTATGTTCAAAGAGCACTGAATACCAAGCCAGGGCGTCTGGTGTGGATTCCGTAGTTAATAGGGAGTGCTGTGGACTGGTCTAAGAGGCCAGTTGGACCATTCACAATTGAGATACAGGGAACTCTGTTAGGAAGTTACTACAGCACATAGCTGTAGGGGAGTGGAGGCCTGAACCAAAGAAAGGGGGGTGTAGTGCTGCCTCCATCAGAGTGGGGTCCGTGGCCCACCAGCATCAGCATTACTTGGTAGAAATGTAAAATGTAAGGCCCCACCCCAGACCTACTCAAGCAGAATCTGCATTTTAACAAAATCCTCATGTGATTCATGCACATTAAATTTTGAGGAGCACTGGTTTGGGGGCCACCAGCTGGTGGTCTATCCTAAATTCATTCCTCTCTTCCCCTGGTATTTTTCAGGCATTCACTCCTTCATTTAGCCCATGTGACTCAGTACACTGATCCCACCCCCAGCTGCAGAATTAGTCTGATGGGTCTACCCCAGTGGTCCTCTAAGTGTGGTCCCCAGGCTAACAACATGAGCGTCATTTGGTAACTTGTTAGAAATGCACAACAAAAATGTAAATTCTTCCTTCTTTAAAGAATAATTCTGAGATGCATCTACACAGTCCCTTGGAGGATTTCTAGCAGGAGTGAGCCCTCACTGAACACAGCTATAACCTGCTCAACACATTTCACTGGCTCCTCTCTCTTCTGGTTCACTCTCCCCGCTCACTTCCTGATATCACCACCCAAAAACTTCCTGCTTTCAACCCTTGTCTCATGCTTCGTTTTCAGAGGAATGCAAACTAAAATTTAAAGGATTCTAAAAATCATTTCACCCAGCCTCCCACTGAAAGAAAATGCCATGTCTTTGCCAGATGGCTGGCTATTCCCCATCAATTCAAGAATGTAGCAAAAAGGGATATACTCCTAATAAAGTAATGCATTCCATTTTTAATGGCTGAAAGTGTTAGAATGGTACTTCTTTGAAAACCAGAATTTACAGTGTTCTGTGCTCTGGGGTACTGGAAAAATATCCCCTTTCTCTTCTACATGTCATCTCCTGTTATCTGCCAACTGTTCCTTCCCTCGTTTGTCCTTTCCCTCCACCTTCTCCTCATGGCATGGTTTCCAGCTGTGTTCTTCAGGGTTGAGCAATGTGGCTCGAGAACCTCTCTTCTGACTGCTATTTTCCACAGACTATGGCCCAACTTACTCTTTCAGTAAATTTATAAAACCCCTACTTACACTGAATATATGGTCAATGATGTTAGCTACTACATTACCTATGTTGAGATATCTCTTTTGTTCCGTGCTTGCATTCACCCATAATTACAGTTTGTAAAGTATTATTTTCTAGCAAGCACTCCCTTCCAAGCCTTCTTTCACTAATATACTTGATAAACCTGCTTTCCATGTCTTAACTCCATTTCTGAATAACAATGTCAAACAAGACATGAAGGTATATAATCCAGCGTGTGCGTCCCGCACTAGAGACTTCCTCCTCATGTTACCAGTAATCCATTAATCACAGGTGTCCAAGCACTTAGGAATTTACCCAACAGAAAAAAACATCTACCTGGATAGTTCTTTTGCTTTTTCTCCGTGATGTCATGAAGGACTTTATTGAATTCCTCCCAGTTTATCATGTGTAATTAATATTCTGACAAAGCTCATACTGTGTTATACATATACATTCATATGTATGTAAGTAAATATGGATTATATCATGTCTATAAATGTAGGTCTGTATAGATTTATATGGTGTCTCCACTGGGCCACAGTGGCAGAGAAGCCTTGTATAGGAAGGTTCCTTTCCTTTTTTGCACAGATATTTTTCTCTAGTCCCCTAACTCTAAGCTTTTCCATGTGGACATTCTGGCTCTCAGAGAGTGGTTTGTCTTCCCAGCTCCTGCTTCTGCCTTCCCAGGCTTGACCCCTGTTTCAGACTCTTTGACGTGTCCATCTTGCCTGGTGCCACCTTTCAGGTGAGACCAAACTCCACCAGTTAGCTTTATTATTAACATTGTTCCCTGGGATCCACTCTTGGAAACCTCCATGGATCAGCTCTTTATCTAACCTGGTAGAAAAGAGAATGCATTGCTATTCTCACAGTGATGCTTTCTGACTTAGGATTTAAGTCATGTGCAGTTATTCTCTCCCCCCTCAAAAAGTACAGTCACTTGGAGTCAGGTTTGTCTTTACTCCTTAGTTTAGAGCTCCAGTCACTATAAACACTGTCCTTCTTTTCTCTGCTATTAGCACATCACAGTCACATATGGTCACTATTAATGTAAGCATTTACTAAAATGGAGGTGGCCCCTATGCCTAACAGGCTGAGTCCCAAGAATAGATTGTAGTGAAATGATGTTCTGACCGGACTATGCTACATAGGTACATCCTTCCACTGTTGACATTCTGTAAAACTAAGGCCAGTCATGGGGGCCCAGGAGAGCTGCTTGGCCCCAACTTTACATTCCTAACATCATAACATTTAGACTTGACATGAAGGTTTTTTATTTTTTTTAAAGTTTAAAATGCCTCTTTGTTTTGTTTTTTTTCTTTTTACCAAAAGCCTCAAAAAATAGAAGCAGCTGGGCCTCTCTGAACCTATGACAGGCCCTTGTCACTATGCTAAGTGTGTCTTCATCTTGTTTTTTTCTCACAACACCCCCCATGTTGAGCAAAAGGGCACTGCCTGAGTTCAGGAACCTCTGAGGCCACAGTTAGCAAGTCCTGGGACTCAGCCCCCTTCTCTAAAACTTGAGATTGTACTCTTAACTACTCTAGCTTGCCACATTAGGACTATGGGAAAAAAGAATGAGTGGAGTAAACTGAAAACAGGAAAAACGATTGGGCATTGTCAACCCCTCAAACAGTTCTTTCTCCATAATGAAAGAAGGAGCTTAAAGAAATTTCTATGGGAGAGACCTCTCCTTAGATTATCACGAAGAACTTCAAGAGAAAAACCAAGAAAAGTTTTGTAGTTAAAATCTTTTCTAGGAAATGTCTGGAAATAAAATTTCATTATGTTCATAACAATAAACACCCATTTCTTCTAAATCCTGATTTTTTTTTGTTTTTAAAAATAATTTTTAGCCTACTCCAATGTATCTGGTATTTGACTTTTTATCAAAAAGAACTTTGATCAAAAGGGGAGGAAGGAAGAAAAATAATTGGACCCGAAAATTCCTTTCACAAGGCTTTCCCCCATTCTGCTCATTGTCTGTAACTAAGAATATAATCAAAGCTTTTTTTTTTCTTTCAAGTTGATCTTATTTTCCTAGGGGTTTTTAAAAAGTACCAAATCATGAGACATTTTCTTTATACATGTAGCCTGCCAGTTAGATTTTCTTTAACTTGGTAATTAAATGCTTCTCCTCCTGGCCCCACACTGTCCCTTCTGCCCTCCAGCCCGAGTGTGCAAAAATCAATTTCCTCATTATCAGCCTCTGCAGATAGAAGCTGAGTGCTCAGCGCCTGGTCCCTGCTCACGGGATCTGCCTTCTCTCTCCTCTTGTCTGGGCTCTGCACTCTTAGAACCATGATGTCTTCCCCCCAGAACCTTTTTAGAGTCAATAAAGATCTTTCTCAACTAACACGACAAGGTGGATGCTCTCCATCTTTTTGGTAGTTGGGCTGAATGGGAGAAAAATGGGGTATAACTATGTGTGTAAAAAAGAGGGATAAGATTATGATTCGTAAGGAAAAACTGAAAAATAAATTTAAAATGACATGATGAGAACCTAAGAATAACTTTATCTTGTTCATGTTTTCTATATTTTCTTAATTCCATTATAAATGTTTGAGTTTTCATCTTAAAGTTTATTTGGTTTTTTGTTTGTTTGTTTGGTCCATATGCTACAAGTTAGAACCAGGTTTCAGATGGCAATTTTTATGAGGCCATATAGTTAATAGGATTAATAGGAATGTGGAGAGTTGAAAATAACATTCCTGGAGATGAATGGGCCTGGTAACTAGCAAAGCAGCCAATGTAATTTCAAAATACAAAGAGCAGTTAACTTAGTGGCAGCTGACAAAGTGGAAGGCGAGTTATTTTAGTTTGTTACTGAATTTTTCATCCCCACGCTGCCCAACCCATCTCTTTCCCAAACACTCATTATAGTCAGACAACTACAGGGAATGTAGGAACCTGTCTCTCTAGATCCTTACCAGTGGATTCATCCCATCTTCTTCCAGCCCAGGCTGAAGAAAAGAAAAATATATTTTAGAAATACGTAGATATAAGCCACATTTTTCTCACTGCTTTCCATTTTCTTCTTTTATCTTTGTCACCCATATCATTAATTAGTACTCCACAATCAATTTTTAAGAAGTAAGATGTTCTGATTATAGTAGCAGCGGCTTTGCGTCCAGTACACTTTCTCAACCAGTGGTTTATAATCCCATTGGATATGAGTAATCTTTGTAGACCGAAGACCAACAAATGTTGTCTGTAAGGGCTAGAGAGAGAATTAGGTTTGGGGACCATACGCAACTATTCAACTGACATTGTAGCGAACAAACAGCCACAGACAACATGTAAACAGATGAGCCTGGCTGTGTTTCAGTAGCACTTTATTTACCAAAACAGACAGCAGATGGGATTTAGCCTGTGGTTCATACATTGATGAACCCTGCTCTAGATTATAGGAGGAAATGGTAAAAATCACTGGAAAATTATTCCAAAAGTAAATGTTGAAGTGTGTCCAATTAGGTAATAAGATATATGGTCCATACATATGTACTTGAACCTTTCATATTTGATTTGCATTTACCTTTTATTGTTTTTTAAATTTTCACCCAGGACTGTTACAATCTATCATTCCACTTGAATCCTTATTCGATTTGAATTTGACAATCTAATAATAAAACTCAGTGAGAATCAGTTGGCTGAAATGTTACCACTTCTTTCCCTCTTTATAACTTAGGCCCTGGAAAATCACTGCAGAGTGAACGGAGGCTATTCAGGCCTAAGGGATGTTTACCTCAAACATGACAGTTACGATGATGTGCAGCAAAGTTTCTTCCTGGCAGAGACAATAAAGTAAGTCAAAATTATTCTAAACGTATGTGGCCGAGGGCCCTGGACAGACTTTCTTTGCACATGTCTTTATCATGAACACGTTCAACTGCTATCAAATAGGACTGCCCCTGAATGCCATCCTACATGCATGGCAATAATTTCAGGTGTGTTTTCAGTCATTGTATTCAGCTTGATGACTTGGGACGACTTTGACAGTTCTCATACACTAGTACCAAAGTAACTAGTGCCAGAGTAACTTCTTCACTCTGCATTAATGAGTATATCCGCTCAGGGTTTTGCTATGCTTTACTGTTGTCCACGGCTCTCCCTAAGCTGAATGGAGAAATTGATGTGGTTTTTGCTGTGCCTTTGTGGTTTCACTGCCTCATATACTCATGGTTCTCTCCCCAGATATTTGTACTTAATATTTTCTGATGACGATCTACTTCCGCTGGAACACTGGATCTTCAATACCGAGGCACATCTTCTCCCTGTACTCTATCCGAATAAAAAGGAAGTTGAAGTCAATGAAAAATAAAAGGACATTTTATATTTTACTCTGCTCCATTCCCTTCACTGCATACCTTAATAATTCCTTTTCTGGTATTCAGGCACATGATGAATTTTTATTACTAGGTCTGTGATTATTCTAAGTTCTAAAATTGTTTTGCAGTCTTTTATGTTTATCATCATAGGCTTAGATGGACCTAAACTCCTTTTCATATCCTTTATTATTCAGTCAGTAGATCACAGGTGGTTTTTTTTATTTTAAGTAATCTTTTATATCTGGAGTTCATGTAGGTATAGTATCATTTTTATTAAACTGAATATAGTGGTACCAATGACCTTTTAATTACAATTTTGATTTGACTGCAAAACTTCTTCCTCCTCTATGAGGAGATGATGTCTGCTTTAAGCTGTAATGTTTTGCCATGTTGCAAAAAGCCATAATAATAAATTAAATATTAAAAAAGCTTTTTCCTTTTCAATTTCATGTTAATATGGTTTGTCTATCCACCAGAGACAGATCTTATAACTGTGACAGCCTCCTTATGCGGGTCTATCATTATTTGATAGAATATCTTCTAAAATACTTCACTCACATTTTAATTCAAATTAGAATGTCATCCCAAAAGGATCATCTCATCTTGACCTCATTTCGTTGGAACCACAGTACATTTTTGTTGGTTAATTGTATTAGTGTTTCCTAATTTGTGAATTAATTCTCAAATTTTACTTCAAATGCCCTGTGTCATTTCTGGAACATGTACTGGTTAATTTCTTCTATTCCCCACCACACAGTGAAGTGAGCTTTCAAGTTTTGCAGATCTCTGCTATTACTGAATTATATTTTTTTACGGGAAACAGTATCACTTTTAGTGTGTTACCTTTTGCTTTTTACTAAATACGTGAAGAACTGGGTCTCTCTAGAGAGAGGGTAAGTATTTCATTTGGCATTTAGTTTGCATTTTTATCTTTAAATTTTTTGTCTTGAGAAAAAGAAAGCATTACCTTTAGTTTAGATTTTTCAGATTTGAAAAGGGCCATTTCTCGAATGTAGTTAAGTTATTTCATATCAGTTTATGAAAGCAGTATTTAACTCTGAAAGAAGCTTTGCCAATGTTTCTATTCATGGTCAATTGAGGAAAATCTAATAAACTTTTATGCCAAATAAGAATATAGTATTTTTTTCTGGTTAAATTTACCATAGTGACCCCAGCTTAGAACCAATATATAGGATTGGACATTCCCAGTTCCCTACAATCCTGTAGCAGATCAAAATAATTCTATGATTCTTCAGAGTGCTGTTTTGAGATATGAATGGTTTTCCCAAGAATAGATTTGGTGACAACTTGTGTTTTTTTAGCATATCGGTTCATATTTTATATATATATATATTCCCATGAAAAGGCTAATACGATAATGCATATTCTGAGGTACAAAGACTATAACCACCTGTATTTTCAACCTAGCAGTGGTCAAATAGATCAGTGAACCCATGGATTACGCTGAAGCATATGCAGTGGCTGCATTTGTAGTTTTAAAACTATCCAATATTAGGAATTTCTTACAGTTCAGTCTAATATTTTTTAATACAGTTATTTTCTTGCATCTCAATTGACGTCATTATTTTAGCTATTTCAGCTTTTGAAAGCATTTCAAAAGAATTCCTTTGTCTGAAAGGACCACCTTGTGTGACCTGCTCTTTTTTCAATATTGTACATTGGTATATGTCAAAGAATAAATTAATAAAGTTAGTAAATGGAAAAGAGCCTTTGGTACCTCATTGTTGCCAAGTTAATGTGTTTTGAGACCCAGACTATCTTCCATTCGTATCTTCAGCTCGCCTTACGAAATGAACAGATAGTGAGTGTCCTTCTTCCCAGGACTTAACGGCAAAATATAAAAGATAGTTGCCAATACTGGGCCATGTGTGTTTAGATTATAATGTTCTTATGAATGTCAAGTTAATTTTCTTTGCTTTTCAATTTGATTTGAAAGAACACAAAGCTGATACGTATTTCTGCAGCAGATAGGATTTTTTAATAAAGGGTTTATGTACAAACTGCACACGATGTACTTTTTATATTTTGGTACACATAGGCAAAAAGATTGTACTACATGCTGCTCTGTCAATGGCAAGAATAAAATTTTTCCGATTCTAGAACTTGGATTTTTTTTTAACCTAAGTCCCAAAACACCAAAAATATAAACAAGATAAGAGATTAATATTATGTAATTTAATTAAATTTATATTTTGTTAATCATTATAAACAACAAAAGTCCTTAGGTAGACACTGTCTTTCATTAATTTTCAGCAATTTCATCTGAAAAGTGAGTAATTAAAATAGCACTTAATTTTGTGTTTCTGCAGATGTTTTGGGTATACTTTGTGCAATTCATATTACACATGTAAGTTGTATGGCAATTTATAGAACACAGTGTTTGTCATGGCTCCTTCATCTGTATTAGCTATTCTTTACATTGATTATTTTTGATGTGTACATAAATTCATTCTGTCATTTCCAACTTTATATAAATCTTTAATGTTATGATAAACATAATAGACACATAATTTTTAAAAACTATATTTGTAAAATTTCTCTATTGTGAATAAAGTCTTTTAATATATCTCCTCATTTGTTATGTTTTTCTCCTTTTAAGTAAGCTTTTGTATATGTAGGGATGAGTGTGTGCAGTTGCAAATGGAAATATTAGATCTTAATACTGATTCTCTACCACACCCAGAGTATCTTGACAAGGAAATATTTTTGCATACACAGCATTTGGTTAATCAGATACCTTTATTAAGAATCTAACATATGTTCAACACCAAGGCATGTAGGGTGGAGGTGGGGCGTTGGTGTCAGAAATAGCATAAAGTATGATCCATATTCTTAAGTTTATAATCAAAGAGATCAGATTCACCCTTCCACTGAAACAAAACAAAGCCGCATTTACTTAGACAAGTTAAATTCTGCTGTTCAGGGGAGCAGGACGTCACTAGGATTTGAGTGGTGACAGGGGCTTAGCAGAAAAGAGACAACTTAAGCTACAGCAGAGCCTCCAATATGGTTGAAAACACAGGTTTTTCACTTTCATGCTGTACTTCCGAGAATGTTTCAGACATTTTGGTTTCTGTTCTTGCTGCCTGGAGCTGTTTCCCCAATGTTGGTATTTTTTTGGCTCATTTCTCACTTTATTCAGGTGTCTGCTCAATTAGCACCTTACCAGATAGGCTATTTTTGACAAATCAATATAAAATTTCCCATCATCCTTTCTCCCTTACTCTTACTCTTATTTTCTCCTAAACATTTGTTAGATTACATATTCATTTCCTTATTTGTTTATTGTTTGTCTAACCCCTTAGAATTTAAGCCTCATGAGAACAAAAGTTACTTAATTTGCCACCACCACTCCCCAACCCCCATCTCCACGGCCTAGAGCAGCGTCTAGCACTTGGTAGCACAAAGTGAATATTTGGTGAACTGGTGAATGAATGAGATTCCACCTTAGATTCATAGGTTTTGCTGTGGTATTTGTCTTTTAATAAGCAGTACATATTTTTAAATATTAAGTACCAGTATTACAAAAAACATGCTGTTTTGAGTAAATAATCGTAAGAATGAGCAATTTTTTTATTGCTTCCTATAATTGTTTTAAGAAAATGTGGAGTAAATTTGTGTTTGTGACTCAAATCAACTTTGAAACAACAGATTTTTTAAACTGCTTATATCATGTATGGCCCTATGTAAAATACACACCAAAAAATATACATCACAATTTCTCTAATATAGAGTGTTTTCAGTATGACTATTTGAATAGCCGACTATTTTCTGTGACTTAAACTCAGAGTCCCTGTCTCATATAAAAAATAAAATTAAAAAAAAAGACAAAACTTTCTATACCATCAAGCAAAGGAATTTGTTTTCCAACAGAGCTACTCGAATGGGAACCTTGTGAATTCAAATTATTTGTAACACAAATGATGTTGGTTGTGATTACTCTGTTGGTGACAGATTTATTAAAAAAGTATTCAAAACATAATTTTTATTTATATTAATCATCAACCATCCACACAGAGATGGCAGCTGGCAATCAGTACATCCCGTTTCCAATAATTATATGTAGACAACTTTTAAGAAAACAAGATAATCTTTTTTCATTTAAGCCTAAAATTCATATACGGAATTGCCATTCCAGCTTTCTAGGATGTGGCTGAAATATGAGGGTGGGGAGAGGAATCTTATTTAATCTTGATTTGATGCTCCAAAGACTGATTTCTTCTTCCTGGCTCATTCCATCCACACTGGCCAACACATGAGTCATAATCTTCAAGAAATATTTGCCAGGCATCAGATATGCATATAAAGTATTAGAACTACATAGGCGTCTAGACAACGTTTAGTCCAACTCTTACTTTAAATATTAGGAAATGGAATTTTCCCAAGGTCAAAAGCTGTTTTCTATCCTGGCTCTGTGCTGCCAGACTCTTGAATGTCATAAGATGTGTGCTAATAAAAAAGAACAATATATAAGAACACATGTTATAGCCACTCTAAAATATAGTTGTAAATTCCGAGTTCACCCATGGAAATTGGCCTAATGCTTTATTTCTCAAGGTGTGGGCTACAGTTCACCTATATCAGAACCTCTTATAAGTCTTGTTAAAATGCAGATTCCAGAGCATGCCCAAATTTAGCAAATCAAAATCGTGGTAGAGCCTTGGAGTTGAGAACAATTTTAAGTTCTAGGTAAGTGGAAGTTCCAATATGGCAGAAGAAATAATGAATTACTTAGCAAGTCATGACAAGTATATATACCTTTTTCTGTATTTTTGTTTCTACTTCAACATTTAAACACAACAACTTGAAACATAATTTGGTTCACTTTAAAGACAGAGTCACCCCTTTACAAAAGCATTTCTGAGCAATAAGCCATATGTTTAAATCTTTTAGCAACAGATTCATATTGTATTTTTAAACATAATTCTTACTGAGCAATCTCAAAATTAATAACTTCAATCACCCCTGTTTTTTATTCATGACTGTTTCATTTGCTTTTTTCTTCCAAAAGATTCTTTCTTTTAAGATTTTTATTAAAAACATGGCTAACATACAATATTATATTAGTTTCAGAGGCACACCATGGTGATTCAACATTCATATACCTAAAGAAGTGATCACCATGATAAGTCCAGCAACCACCATACACTGAACAATGCTATCACAATATTAATAACTATATTCCCCATGCTGTGCATTACATCTCCATGACTTCTTTTATACCTGGAAATTTGGACCTCTTATCCCTCTTCCCCATTTCCCCCCTTTTTTAATTTATCAAATTATAGTTGACAATATTATTTTATATTAATTTCAGGGTACAACATAGTGGTTAAACATTTATATAATTTAAGTAATGATCCCCCTGACTAGTACCCACCTGGCACTATACACAGTTATTACCATATCATTGGCTATATTTCCTATGCTTTGCTTTACATCCCCATGACTATTTTATAACTACCAGTTTGTACTTCTTAATGCCTTCACCTCTTTCTACCTTCCCCCTAACCCCCTCCCATCTATCACCCCAACAAATCTAGTACCCATCTGACAACATACATAGTTATTACAATATTATCGACTATATTCCTTATGCTATACTCCACATTCCCATAACTACTTGTAATAATCTATTTGTACTTAATCCCTTCCCAATATTTCACCCACATCCCCAACCTCCCTTCCATCTGGCAACTATCAAAATGTTTTCTGTATCTATGAGTTAGTCTCTGTTTTGTTAGTTTATTTTGTTCTTAGATTCCACATATAAGCAAAATCACATTGCTTCTGTCTTTCTCTGTCTGACATACTTAACTCAGCATAATTTCCACAAGATCCATCTGTGCCACTGCAGATGGCAAGAACCCATTTCCTTCCATGACCCAGCAATATCCCATTGTGTATATGTACCATCTCCTCTTTATCCATTCTTCCATCGATGGACACCCAGGCTGCCTCCACATCTTGGCCATTGTAAACAATGCTGTGGTGAACATATGGATGTACATGTCCCCTCAAAGTAGTGTTTTGGGTTTCTTTGGATTAATACCGAAAAGTGGTATTACTGGGTCTTTTCATTTTCTGGTCTCCTAGCCTTTGTTTTAAAGTCGGTTTTGTCTGGTATAAGTATTGCTACTCGAGCTTTTTTGTTTTCATTTCCATTTTCATGAAATATCTTTTTGCATCTCTTTATTTTCTGTGTGTGTCTTTCAACCTAAAGTTAGTCTTTTGGGCAGCAATGTAAGTATCTTGTTTTCTTATCCATTCAGCCCTCCTGTCTTTTGACTGAACATTTAATCCATTTACATTTAAAGTAATTGTTGATAGTTATGTAGCTATTGCCATTTTATTATTCTTTTTTTTTTCTTTTCGTCTTAAAGAATCCCCTCTAAGATTCCTTATAATACTGGTTTGGTGGTGATGAACTCCTTTAGCTTTTTCTTGTCTGGGAAGCTCTTTACCTGTCCTTTGATTTTGAATGATAGATAGCCTTGCTAGGTAGAGTAGTCTTGGTTGTAGGTCTTTGCTTTTCATCATGTTGAATACTTTGTGCCAATCCCTTCAGGCCTGCAAAGTTTCTGTTGAGAAATCATCTAGCCGTCTTATAGGAGCTCACTTATAAGTTACTAATTACCATTCTCTTGCTGCTTTGAGGATTCTCTCTTTGACTTTACCCTTTGCCATTTTAATTATAATGTGTCTAGGTATGGGCCTGTTTGGGTTCATCTTGTTTGGGATTCTCTGCACTTCCTGGACTTGTATGTCTATTTCCTTCACCAGGTTAGGAAAGTTTTTAGCCATTATTTATTCAAATTGGTTCTCAGTCTCTTGCCTTTTCTCTTCTCCTTCTTATACCCCTGTGATGCAAATGTTGGAAATTTTTATGTTGTCCCAGAGGTCTCTTAAACTAGTCTCATTTTTTTGGATATTTTTTCTTTTTTTCTTTTTTGCTGTTCCAGTTGGGTGTTTTCTGCTACCTTGTATTCCAAATTGCTGATTCGGTCCTCTGCTTCATCTAGTCTGCTGGTGATTCCTTCTAGTGCATTCTTCATTTCAGTTATTGTATTCTTCACTTCTGACTGGTTCTTTTTTATGGTTTCTATGTCCTTTTTTATGCTTGCTATCTCTTTGTTGAAGTTCTCACTAAGTTCCTTGAGCATCCTTATAACCATTGTTTTGAACTCTGTCTCTGGTAGGCTGCTTGCCTCCATTTTGTTCAATTTTTTTCTGGATTTTTCTTCTGTTCTTTCATCGGGAGGCATTTCTTTGTTTTCTCATTTTAACTGCCTCTTTGTTTTTGTTTCTATGTATTAGGTAGATCTACTATGTCTCGCAGTCTTGGCCAAGTGGCCTTATGTAGTAGGTGTCCTGTGGGACCCAGTGACACAGTCTTCCTGGTCATCTGAGCCGTGTGCTCCAGGAGTGTCCCTTGTGTGGGTTGTGTGTACCCTCCTGTTATAGTTGAGCTTTGGTTTCTATTGGCACGTCAGTGGGTGGGATTTCTTCTCAAGCTGACTGGCTGTGGGATTTGACTACACCCACAGCTTATGGGCTGCTGTGCAGGAGGCTTA